TGGTCTGGTTGATGATGCATCATTTTTGTTTTTAAAGGGTACTTTTGTTTGTTTCCCTTTTTGACATGCATTACACAGATGATCCTTTTTGTAATTGATATCTGGAAGACCAATCACCAATCCTTTCTTGGACAGTTTGTTGATGGTTTTGAAGTTGAGATGGCTGAGCTTGTTATGCCATTCCCAACTTAGATCTGAATCAGCTTTTGTTACCAAGCAGATTCCTTCCTTTGCAGTTTCCCAGTCAATAATGTACATGTCCTTCCTTCTTCTACCAGTGAGCACAATTTCATCATTTTTGACATCTCTGATCAAGCAGATGTCTTTGGAGAATGTTACATTATAGCCATTGTCACAAAGCTGGCTTGTGCTTGTTAAATTGAACTTTAAACCCTTAACATAAGATATGTTTTGGATTATAAGTCCTCTTCTTACTAAGTCTCCAGCTCCTTTGGTTTCTCCTTTCTTTTCTTCATTCCCAAACGTCACTTTGGGTCCTTCCCTTGCCATGTAGTTTGACAGCAGCCTTTTGCTTCCTGTCATGTGCCTGGAGCAGCCTGAATCTATGTACCATTCTGTTGAATTAGCTGCTCCAGCACCCTCCTGTATTCATCAGTGTTGAGCAGCAGCCCACAAGTTAGTGGGCTTCTTTCCTTGAACAAGTTTAGGCATCCATGCCCATCTAGAACCATCTAATTCTAAGCAGGCTGGTCTATAGCCATTTGGAGTGTTGTAGTTATATGGGATAGCTGTATAGATGTTTAGTTTCTTTCTCCTAGATGTAGGAGAAGAGAGGTTTCTTTTGGGTGGAATTTGCTGTCTTTTTGGTTGGTAGTTGGTCTTATTGGTGAGTTGCCAACTTGTTTGTTTGATAGGAAAGTTTTGTTTGTACAGGTATTTGGATTTTGGTTTGGGAGCAGACATGTTCCTTTTTGTGGGAATTGTTTGGGAATTGGAGTGTTGGTGGCTTTGTGTTGTTGTTTTGATGGAATAGTTTGTGGATAGTTGGTTTTCTGAGTACTTGGTGGGTGATTTGTATCCAAGACCTCTGTTCTTCTTTTTAAGAATAATCTCAGAAGTGTGATCAACATTTTCAGTAGTCAGGCTGAGATTATTCGTTTTTGTTTTTAGCTCAATGTTCTCTTCTGTCAAGCTATTGATTTTGGATAAGGCAACTAAGAGTTTATCATGAATGTTCTTAGTGTCTTGTTTTAGTCTTTCATTTTCAGATCTTAAGAGAACATGATGATTTTGGACCTTCTGAAAATCTCGAAGTAAAGATTCTAGTGTAATCCTAGATGGTCCAGAATCATTTGAGCAATAGGAAGAACAGGAGGTTACCTCTACATCCTTGTCGTGGTTATCTGCCATGAGACATTTGAGTGAGTCATCCTGAGATGAACTGCTGCTTGTATCCTCAGCATCTCGCCAGACTCCTAGACAGAGTAGTGCTTCTTCAGAGTCTTCTGATGAAGAGCTATTACTTGAGCTGCTTTCATCACTTTGGGATTCTTCATTCTTTTTCTCACTTACAAAGGCTTGATGTTTGCCTTTGAAGTTTTTGAATCCGGCCTTGTGAGTAGCATTCTGCTGTCCTTGATATTTGTGTGCCAATGGGAGAGGGCACTCATTTTTGTAGTGTCCTGGTTGTCTACAGTTGTAGCAAAGAATAGTGTTCTCACTTGATTTGGATCTTTCTTGCCTTCTGGATTGCTGAGGGAATGGCTTCTTTGGGGTTGAACCTTCTTTCTTTATGAACCTTTTGAATTTTCTAACAAACATTGCAAATTGTTCATCAGTGAAGAGATTGTTGAGTGATTTTTCTGTTGATCTTGATGTGCCAGGTTCAGATACTAAGGCCAGTGTCTTGATTTCTTCCTCCTTTTCATCCTTTATCTCTTTCATTTCAAACTCATAAGCTTTTAAATCACTAAAGAGCTTATCCGTTGAAAGACTTCTGAGATCTCTGCTATCTCTCATGGCAGTTACCTTCATATCCCATCTTGATGGTAGTCCTCTCAAAATTTTGAGAGAGATCTCTTTTTGGGAGAGAGTTTTCCCAAGATCAGAGACTTCTGCAATAATTTTAAGAAATCTGGATTCCATATCATGGATGGATTCTTTTGGCAACATTCTGAAATCTTCAAACTTCTTGAGAGCAATAGTTAATTTGTTGTCCTTTTCTTGTTCATCGCCAGTTCCAATCTTTGTTAACTCATCCCACACGTCTTTCGCAGTTTCACATTTCCTTATCCTTGGAAATATGGATTCATCAACAGCTTTGAAGAGGATGTCTCTGGCAACATTGTCTAGGTTGTTTCTCTTCCTATCTTCAGTTGTCCATTCCATTTTTGGTTTTGGAATGTACATATCATCTGTTCCTTCAGTGGTTCTGGATGTGATGACCTTCATGATTTTGATGGGTCCATCAGTGATGACTTCTAGCATTTCATCATGTAGAGCACTCAGATGAGCTTTCATTCTGATTTTCCAGTCATCAAATTTGTTGAAGTTGAACAGGAGATTTTTGGAAAGTTGGTTGTCCATTCTTGAAGGTTTTGGGAGACGAGTGAGTTTTGGATTTTTAGTTCAAACTTAGTCAGAAACTGACTCTAGGAACACCTGCTCTGATACCACTTGATGGTCCCTGATAGAGGTGAAAGTCTAGAGGGGGGGGTGAATAGACTTTCAAAGATCTTTGAACTTTTAAAGAGTTTCTCTCATAGGTATGATGATCTGAAATCTTTTGAGAGATTTAGGATTGCAGCGGAAGTTTTGACCTCTTTTTGACTGTGAATGGTAACTTTCTTAGAAGAGGATAGGAGGGAAGAAGTATTTGTATTTTGAACAACTTATCTTTAGTGACTGAAGTGTGTAGTAGAATGGAGGCTCTGCTTTGAAGATCTTTCGGTGAGATCCTCTGATGATCTTGAATCAGACTTCCTTCAGTGAGGTCCTCTGATAATCTTGGATCAGAGACCCTTTAGTGAGGTCCTCTGATGATCTTGGATCAGAGACCCTTTAGTGAGGTCCTCTGATGATCTTGGATCAGAGACCCTTCAGTGAGGTCTTCTGATGTCTTTGAGTCAGAGACCCTTAAGTGAGGTCCTCTGATGATTTTGGATCAGAGAAATAGATTGACACAAGATGTATCCTGGTTCAGAGGTGGTGTAATCCTCTTACATCCAGTCCCATCCTCTTTCAGATGGATTTCCACTAAAGTATTCAGCCCAATACAATTAGTGACCATCTGGCTGTTATCACCAACCTGCTCAGACTTCAAGGTGTTTCACTAAGAGTACACACCACTCTTAGCTACTCAATCCTTTAGGTTTTTCTCAATTGATCCAGTGGGGATCAAAAGGTACTCTATCCTATTCTACCACACTTAAGGACTTAGATGACGCTATCCTTATAAGTGTTTACAACAGTTTCAATATGAAACAAATTTCTAGCCTCCAACTAAAAACTAAACTTTCTGAGTGTATCAATGAGGATTTCTGTTCTAGAAAGTTTAGTGAAGCATGAATCTAAGCAGAGAGCAGAATTTAATGAACACTTTCTCTATTGCTGGATATCTTCTTTGTGTAGTATGATTTCTCTGCTTAGTGAACTCATGAGCTTGTTTTTCTTCTCATGCTTATGCCCGAATTTATAGGCATCTATGGTTGATTAATCTCCCCCGTTGGTTGAGAGGATCTAATCTATGTCGTTGAGGCTTCTTGTACTTTCGTCTTCTTGTGTTGGAGCAGCTTATCTTCAGACGCAATTGGAGAAACTTGCTTTGCAGGAAATGTAAACCCATTCCTTAGGCCTTTTACGCATTATTCACCATCTAGTGGGGTTTTGTCTTCACAGGCAACTCTGCGTGTTGTAGTGTCCCATGCTTTTGTAGATGCTCTGGCCTTAGGAAAATATTGTGTCCTTGGTCTTTCTTTAACACATAAATTTAACTGGTAGGAAAAATATCCTTGTTAAGGTAATTAAAAATTTACCTTATTGCATTTTATATTTCCAGTCAAGTTTATGTGTTTCCGAAAGTGTACAGGTAGGATTGGTCATATTTGTACTAGTGACAAGAATAGTTTTTATAACAAATAAAAACATACTGGATGGATTTGAATATCCTTGCAAGGTAGAATTTTACCTTATTGCATTTTAACATTTCCAGTATATTTATTTGTCATAAAAATTGTACAATGTTAATATTTTGTCACTGTTACAAAGTATTCTTGTTTAAGCAATTTGAGAACCTACTACTGTTTTTAAAACGAGTATACAATTTTTATAATAGAATCTAAACACAAGAGAAGGATGGCATCATCAAAACTATCTCTTATAATAGTAGGTTACATCAAAGTCTGAGGGACCTAACATTTTTTTAAGAGTACAAATATTGTTGATGTGTGAGCAAGAGGTCAAGGGTTCAAATCTTGGGAGCACCCTCTTGTCAAATGACAAGTGAAGACTTACACCTTAAACACTCTTGTAATGGGACCCTTTCTCGGGCCTTCACCTTGCGGGGAGGCCAGTGTGCCCCGGGCTTCCCTTTGCCCATTACAAACATTGTTGGTGATGATCAATCACCTCTACGTGAAGATAGAAATCTGTTACGGGCGTCCTTTCCATATCAAAATCATATTAGGGGCTCCAAGTATCACTCAACATACTCTGTATTTCTAAAAGTATGTAATGGAAAATACAAGTTGGCTACAGTGTTCATCCCAATATTAGCAGTCTGTCATTTGGAAACAGTAGAAATGATCTACATGTTTCATTACGACCAATGACTTATGATCTCCAATAACTAAATTAGCCTGCAGAAAACATTAATATAGATGTATTCTGGGGCAGGATATGTCACTAATACAGACACATCATCTTTTACAAGGCAGAGGGATCAGAATAGTGCAATTCCATCCAAGTAACTCATAAACATCTACTTAGCAAAAGGGATAAAAGGGGGAAGTGATATATGGATCACTAAATGAAAAACACACCTTGAGAAAATATTGATACATTCCATTAGGGGTTTCCTGCGTCCATCTCACGCTGCAATTTCAACAAGGAGTGGACATGAATTTTCACATATATGATACTGCAAGCACAAGAAGGAAATGGAAAGGATTGCTGTTCTAACGTGAAAGCATGATAGGTTAGAATGAGATAGGGGAAATTACCCATCAAGAGGGTTCATGGCCCCCGGAAAATAGTCTCCAAAAGCTAATCTATTGATCTTGTGGCTTATCTGTAGCATATATTTATATCATCTGAAGTTAAAAGCACAACAACTAAATATGAAACAGAACACAGAAGAATGATAAAACTTAGTCCTATTCACAAATCTAGTACTTTTTGAGAGGAAAAAAAAAGAGAATTAACTCGGGCATTGGGAAGCTGTTACAATATCTTACATTGAAGCTATCCTTTTGGAAGGCAAGTAGATCATGAACATGCACATTTGACTGTTGGAAACTCTTTCCAGGTGCAAAATGAAAATTTCCAGCCACTTTGTTAACTTCCAAGAACCCATATAAACTACACCCTTCACTGTCTTCTTATTTGATTCTTTGAAGGAACCCTTCTCTTTTGCACTGATTCCGCAAGGAAAAAGAAAAAAATAAAGGAGGTCGATTATTATTGAGCGCTAAAAAGTCAAACTTTCTAATCCTTTATCGAATGATATACTGATATACATTGCTCAATCGGATAAGTTGCTAAGTTGCTATGTTGAGATGTTTGAAAATAATTCATATTGCCTGCTAAGTTGCGATGCCTTTATCTGCTTATTTATATATGGAGTATATATCAGATAAAACATGGAACTGGACCACATTCAGAAATTTAGAAGATAATCAGGTAAATCAAACACTACTATTGGCCAGGCTTTTCCTTGAATCCTTTGGCATGTGAGAGTTCTTCTACTGGGTAGCCCAATTTCCATAAGTTTGCAACTGCCTGAGCTGAAAAACACTATTTCATGGCCCTATAAAATCTATGTGAGGTAGGATCATAGATTAAGTCCTAGTATTGTTGAAGAATCATAGCATTTGTTATTCATAGTAGATGACTTCAAATTAAGAAGTGTAGGTTTGTTATGCTCTTTTAACCCTTACACATCGTATATACGAAGTATTAATTTTTTCACTCTTCAAATTAACCAAACATATCATCCTTTTCAACTCTATTTTTCCTCCTCTCTCTCCTTCCCTTTCTCCTCTCCTCCCTTCCCCACTATTGAAACAAGCAACGGGTACAGGTTAAAGAGGGATAACAAACCAAAGTCAGCATCAAGGTTTGAGTTCTTACATATAGGATACTGAGTAGAAATTAACACTAACTATTAGTGATTTAAAGGTGCATACTTAAACATGAAGTTACTATTTAATCTGCATACAAAAAAGTGACTAGATTGGATATATTTGGATTTAAAACCCTCTAAAAGAAAGTCTAAAATATTACCTAATAAATCGCTCTTCCATGTTCCTTCTCACAGTCACTACTCCCTATTGTCTGCCCCTCACATCACCCTCAGCAAGTTCTTCTATCTCTCTTTTATTTCTTGTGTTTTCTTTCATGGTTTGTTTAGTTTAAAATAGAAAGTGATAAGAGATAAAGATAAGAGAAAGAGAGAATAAACAGAGAACGATAACAAATTGGGCGGAGTAATGATACTGGATTGGCCATTTTTAGATGATTGGAGCACGGGGAAAGGCAGCGACATCAAAGATGATGGCGGTGTGTACAAATAAAAAGGTCACTTTTGGGGCTAAACTTAGTTAGTAAAATGACGGTCTAAAATCTTTACAACATAGTTTCTGGGAAAAAGTGACATTGTTCAATTTAACATTTATTAACTCACTGTTACTTTGCATCAGCAAGATTCCAACTTAAGATTAAAAGTGGGCATACCTAATTTCTAATTGACAGTATTGAATTTTAATGGACATCACAAGATTAATTCTAGCATGCACAACTATATGCTAGTTAGGCTATGCAAGCAGATTTTAATGATGGCAGTAAATTAGACTAAAAAACTTACAAAGCTGCATAAGTCAGACTTCTGTCTTCACTATATGGTTTTACTAACAGTAAGGGTGGAGCAAGTTAACAATGATTTTTTTAGTACGGATAAGTTGACAATCATGATTTTGCACACGAAGCACTAGGATGGAACAATGTGTGTGAATGTGTGATTACTCTCTGAATGACAGCTTGAGCACTGATCTTTTAACTAGATTGAAGCAGAGATGCACAACTAATGTTGCTCTTTCCTCTAGGATGTGTAATCCACCACACAAGATGCATATTAAAAATTATCTAAATAGACTCAAATGTAAAACTGACCTGGTCCATTAAATCAGGATTTGACACTGCCCATCCCTTTTTTCTATAGGCTTCACGGACATCTTCATAAGAGTTGCAATAGTGGTCATCTGACTGCACAATTAAAAGGATAACATTGGAAAAACAGTAATTACTAAGTGGTTTATAAGTTAAAAACATAGACTAACTGAAGTTTTTATAGTTTGTCTACCATAAAAAATGTGCTTAAAGGAAAAGTTATGGTCTTGTATGAATCAAGTACAACATAATTTTCTACTTATATTTGAAAAGCAGAAAGAAAATCGAGACATATGACGTACTTCAAAACGTAGGAAATACATATACAAGCTACTCAAACCCCAGTCATTGTAGCATTAAATTAGAGAATTGGAGTGAAGTCTAAAGGGATAAAAAAAATCAGAAGTATTATTGGGTACAACCGTACAATTTAAAATCACAGCAGTGGCCAGTTGTTTACTAGTCATTGTGATCTATGCTTGATTAATTTTCCCAAGTCCAAACAGCTAGCATATATAGAAAGGTTAAAAGTTACATACTGATTCAGCAACATAACATGAACCACAATATGTCTCCTTGTGCTCAAGCCTGCCACCATGTCTTTGCAAGGGTCTTTCAATCTGTAACATCAATTACAGTAGTAAGAAGATAAAAGGGAAAACTGTCAAATAGGTCCTCGAACTTTTATAAAAAAGTCAATTAAGTCCTTCTATAGAAGACTCTATCCGGTCGTCGCGATTTGGGGCGGTTCCCGGTGGAATTTTTTGATGAATTTTTTTGAGCATCTTATTCATCAAGTCCAGTTTACTCATACCAAATTTCAGCTAAAACTTTAATCAGGAGCGCATTCAAATTAATTCGAGAACGCAAAAATGCGCAGTTATCTTCAAGAATTAATTTGAATGTCTTCCCGATTGAATTTTTAGCTGAAATTTGGTATGAGTAAACTAGAATTGGTGAATAAGATGCTCAAAAAATTTCATCAAAAACTTCTACCGGGAACTGCCCCAAATCGCGACGGCCGGACAGAACCTCCTATAGAAGGACTTAATTGACCTTTTTATGAAAGTTCGAGGACCTATTTGACAGTTTTCCCAAGATAAAAACAAGCACATCACTCAGTCAAAATAAAAAAGAAATTACTTAGCATTAGCAGCAAAATAGCTACCACAGCCTTCAACTAAGAAAATTCAAAATATGCATTTGAAAAAAAAATCTTTTGTCTATCGGTAACATCAAACATGAATTTATACAAGACCAAGATACATATAGAACAAGCATATGATCTCTTTAAACTTGAACCTACCAAGCACCAATGTTATGTTTACTCCAAGGAGTGGAAGTCATTTGTGACATGATTCACTGATTCCACAGGTTACACAATTTGAGTGTCTCCCACTCTTTCGTTTTACTTGCAAATCTTGATTTGGGAATGGTTGTTCAGCCCAATGGGTCACAGGAGTTGGATTCCATACTACATTTTATTTGTGCTGATTACGCTCTCAAATTTTGGATGTGAACAAAAGAGTGGGTGAAACTGCAAAATTTATGACCCCCGAAGTTACTTTCCTCTGCAGAAATGATTCCCCTCTTTGCAGGAAAATAAAGCATAATTGTATTACACATTCATAAAGAAAGTGGTCATATCATATGACTCATACGAATACTTGACCTTCTAACTCACCTTTGGGCCACCAATACCATCCTGCCTTGTTTCAATTACATTACCATGAGAATCTATCCTTTTCTTGATAATGTCATGTCTCTGCAAGTGCACGCAAAACCAGAGCTGGTAAAATTATGTTTTAACAATAACAATATCACTTTTGAGCTGACATGAACCTCTTTTTGACTCAAGACTATACACTCATAAACAACCATTATGTTTTTCTAGATTTTAATATTACTTAAAGATAACAATTTCTGGAGCAAAGGTATGATACTGCTACGATATAGTGCAGTATTTCAAGATAGCATTGGTCACAAAATGTTGGTTAATGCACTCCTGAAACACTTGGGCCGCTCACCATAGTGAATTTCCACATTAAATTTCAACCCAATTTGCAAAGAGTGACTATTCACTTTTCCAATTCAAAAACTTTTGGTTCAAAATGGCCAAACTATCCTCATATGCAAACAAATGGAATCTGGTGAAAATAGGCATTTAGTACCAAAGGAGGTCAATTTTAATAACTCAAGTATTATATGTAGTCAAATAGATAATTGATAATTGAAAGATATTATGTTAGGGTTACAAGACTACAAATTTCACTATAGTAAACGACTGGTCAGAGACTCGATATACTTTTATTTTCAGGAAAAGATATACGTAGTATTTCCTAAAACAAAGTAATATCATCTATGAAAGGGAGAAAGCAGGGGGGTACACAACATTGATGATAAAAGATTGTAAGAATTAGTGATACAGAAAAGTTTACATACAACATCAAGGTGTTGCTCTCCACTTATGTCCATAGCATCAACACTGACAATGGAACACGGAAGTGCTGGAAAGGTAATATCAAACTGCGAATCAATGGAACAACAACTTATTCACACAAGAAGTAATTAACATGCACACAAAATGGCTTTTTTCCTTCCAGGAATACGAAACCGATACAGAGTGCAAGAAATAAAGAAAACTCACAAAACACATATCTGGTGTTTGACAAAGTGAAAAAGGACATAAATGTAGTTAATTTGAACTCTCAAACAAGATCATCTTAAAATGTGATTGCTTTAATATTAGAACAATGAAATAACAATTCCATGCTCCATCTTTTCCTACCCTAACACAATGTTCTTCTAAAAAATGTTACTGCCTACATCCCTAAATTATCTTCCAAATAGGAGATAGCACGTGGATTAAGAAAGTGGAAGTTGTGTGGTGGAGAGTTGTGCAGAGGAGAGATAATGTGTAAGAATATGTAAGAAATGTTGTGAACCATAAATTCTTTGCCAAAAAGGGAAAGAGGATATTACTTCGGGACGAACAAAAAAATGAAAGTTTGAAGATAATTCAGAGACAGAGGGAGTACTATATAGCATATTCAATCGTACAGTCCTAAGTCCAAAGATAATATTTTACATTAATAGGAAGGGTTTCTCCTCTTGAAGTGTCAACCACAAGCTTCGTCTTAGTTACAGCATGGAGATATAGTCATGCAATGACTTGCAACATATAACACCGCTATTGAGAATATACACAACTAGGAAATTCTATTTTTTTTTAGTGTAATATGCTATAAAACTCTAGCAAACTCCATTATGTGCATTATGTGCTATGAACATGAATATAGGTCAACATTGGAGAGAACAGACATAGTTAAAACCTTCTCACATGCTAAATTTCATTGCTTTACTTGATAAAGTTGAGTAACATGCAACAGATAGAACGTTTAGTATAATTTCATAACAAATTGCACAGTATTCAACAAAGATTTTGCCGTGAAAAGGAGAAAACAGAATTAGATTATGAAATAAATTAAATGATGATTACTATTGTTGTCTGGATCATATTAACCGTCTCGACAACATCGCAAACTTATTTGACAGAGTTGCATATACAAAGACATATTAATCACACGCATTGGGCTCATATATACGTAGGGAGATAAAGATGGAGGAACAAACTGAGCTCGGAAATGAAGAGCAAGAGCATAATAATGGAGGAAGCGAGGGTTATCACGCCACCGGAGAGAGTTCTGTTGTAGAAATCTTCGTTGACCTTCGGATACGCATCCAAATTTGGAATCTTGTTCATTAACTTCTCCATATCCGCAAATAAAAAATCCCTCTAGCGTTACCTATTTCACTTTTCTTTTGACAGAAAAGAGTTCTCAAGTCGAAGAATTAATGAAGAATCGAAAATGCAGCGGCTTAAACGCCCCGTCGAATGATCTCCGGTTGTCGACGGAGGCGTTGAAGTCTCCTCCTCCACTCTATTTTTTCGATTTTATTTTGTTTTTAGTGATTCTATGTTCTAAAGAAATTGTTGTTATCCATTAAATTTAGAATTAATTTCCTAAATAGGTCAAAAAAGTGATCCAAGAGTATAAATAAGGTTACATGTTTTATTCCCTTTAATAGGACTATTTATGAATACTAGTATTCGCACCCATGCATTGCACGGGATGCACAAAAGTCTCTCACTTAATGAAATTGAGTATTTCAAATTTTAAGCATTTAATAAATATCTTAATACCTATTAATTAAAGTTTGAATTTTTTATCAAAGAAATTAAAAAAAAAAAAAACTTGAGTAGTTGAGATTTGTCTTGAAGATACTCTCGCCATGTTATAATATTTTAGAATATATTTCATGAAGATAAACTTTGCGAAATAGAAAACAATAGACTTTTAATTAAACCTCCACATATGTGTTTTGTATTAGTTGCACTATACTCACATTTTTTTAAATGAAAAGGAATTTATTAATAAAGTACAAACGAAATACATGGAAAAGAGGGGAAAAAAGGAGCAATTAAAGCGAACATAAGTACTTGTAAATTTTTATCTAGTAATTTTGTTTTAATTTTTTATTTAATTATTAATATACGGAGTATGATTTTATGAAATTTTGTGATTTTATGATTCAACTTTCAAGAACTTCTACATTTGAAACTATGATTTTTACAACCTTGAATGGATCATTCCCAACACAACAATTTCCAAGTCCAATTATAGTTATAAATAAATTACGTACCTAGTACAAGAGGAATGTTCAGGTCCGAACATTCCCCGTCCGAGCACCGTCCGAACATGGACGTTTGGGCCACTTCCCGATGGAATTTTTTGATGAAATTTTTTGAGCATGTTCTTCATCAAGTCTAGTTTGTCAATACCAAATTTCAGCTCAAAATTAGATTGGGAAGACATTCAAATCATTTTTTGAAGTTGACTGCATCAAAATATACATATAAAAAACGCAGTCAACTTCAAAAATGATTTGAATGCCTTCCCGATTGAAGTTTGAGCTTAAATTTGGTATGGACCAACTAGACTTGATGAAGAACATGCTCAAAAAAGTTCATCAAAAAATTCCACCGGGAAGGGCCCCAAACGAGGATGTTCGGACGGAGGGTTCTGTCCGAACGTTTGGACCTGATCATTCTTGCCTAGTACAATACCAGCTGCACCCATTTTATACCCCATTTTCAAAACCACAAATTAGGAACCAAAACAAACATGTTAAGATACATTTAGAGGGATGGATCCAATCCTAAGAAATTCATTATTGTTTCGGTTGGTTTACCCACTCAATTCAAGTTCAACTTGTTAACCGATTAACCGAGTTCACCTGAACACTAAGTTGTACCGTTTTATCTTTTCCTCTTGAAAATATATGATCAGGTTAAACACAAAAATAAACGTGTTCCAATTGACCAACTCTTCCATAATCAATAAAGTGTGCGATTTGTAATAATTATAAGCGGAAATCTTTTGTATAACTACCATGTATTTCTCAAAAGTGAAAGATATATTGGCTTATCTATATGCGATGGAAAATTGGTTTAACCATCAATGCTTGTTTCGTCAATCAAAAGCACATTTCCTTTTATTAGAAAGGATGACAGTTAGAGAGTAAATTGGACGGTGTAAATTGAATTGTAATCACAAGTTGACAGATAGAGAGTGGGTTCTAATCTGACACCTGTAGAGGCCCTATGCATTTTAGCATATAACATGTCAGTGAATCCCCGTTAACCATCGGTTAACTAACAACACAAGAATTTATATATGTACCGATAAGCTAAATTATATCTATACAACTTTACTTATGGGCCATAAGTTATGGCATTATGTGGAATGAAGTGAAATTTAGAGGGTGTATTTTCTTCGTCCTACAAAACTTTGTATTCTTGTTTTGTGTCCCTTCTGATCATTTTTAATTTCTCATCAAATTCCAACAAAATTGATCTACATAAAAAACTTTATCATACGTAGCATATTAAAAAAACTGACTTGAATAAAAACAACCTAAATAATACGGAGTACCAAGTATACACTACCTAGAGAAACTACCTAACCTTAACTCAGGTCACCTAAAAATATTTTGCATAAAGACTTAAAAGTGCCATAAATAAAATATGGCTTACATAAAAAATATTATATATATGTCCCTTACATAAATAAATAAATAAATAAATAAATAAATAAATAAATAAATAAATAAATAAATAAATAAATAAATAAATAAATAAATAAATAAATAAATAAATAAATAAATAAATAAATAAATAAATAAATAAATAAATAAATAAATAAATAAATAAATAAATAAATAAATAAATAAATAAATAAATAAATAAATAAATAAATAAATAAATAAATAAATAAATAAATAAATAAATGAAAGATCCGTGCAAAACATATTATAAAAATAACCTTGAATAAAAACTTCCTAAAATCCGGTTAAAATTAAAAATACATAAAATAAACAATTGTAAATAAAAGAGAAAAATTATAGGTGATATTTGAATCCTGTCACAAACTAAGCTGAATTGACGAACCTGATTGGAAGTACAAAAAGATTAAAAAAACAAAAGTTGATTCTAACTCATTAACTACTTTTTAAAGTTAGATTTTAAAGTTTTGAAAGGCCAAATAGTTAGAGTAGAGAATCTGAAAAAGAAGGCTATTAGATTTAGAAGAACATGGAACACATCTGCTGAGTCAGAGAGAAGTGCTTGAGAAACCATGACACTAAGAGGACCAAGCTTAAATATTTGAGAATTAGATGCATTGGTTATTTTAGAAGTTGTAAGGAACCAATACGTCTTGCATTGGTTATTTTAGAAGACATCATACACAAATTAGATGCATAATTCAAAAAAATAGAAGTAAACACTGAGCTTCTGATGAAGTTAAGACGTAAGGTGGAAGTACTGTTGGAAGAAAGTAATTTATGAGTATTATATTTGGGTGATTGTGTATGGAAGAGAGAATTTTCAGAGAGAGATGATTATGGGAGAACTTGGAACTTTTATTGATTTGGAGCTTTTGACTTGTGTTACAAATGAGTGAGAAGTGTTCTATTTATAGGTCTCATAGGATCCTTCTAGGCACTCCTATAGGATTCTCATAGGTCTCATAGGTCTCATAGGTCTCTATTTGGAGCTATGTCCTAAGCATTCTACAATGTTCTATAGGATTCTAGCTTAGGAATATTCTAGAATTATTTAATAAGTACTACCTCCGTTCTCTTTTAGTTGCAACGTTGGACTTTTTACACTATTCACATATTCTACTTTGACTACATTTTATTAATTGATGTATTATAAATTAAATTTTTAAAAAATATTGTTAAATTCTTCTCATTCTAAATTTTCAAAATATGAATTTTTTAAATTTTTTACTAATATGGAATGAAAGATATTAATGGTCAAACTTGTGCGTTGGCAAACGTGAAATGTTGACTGTTGCAATTAAAAAGGAACGGAGGAAGTACATTAACTAAAGAGTACTCTAGATCTTTCTTTACTAACTCTAACGTATGGGCTAACTAATTTATTATTTCTCATACAACTATTAGCCCAATAAGTTAACTTGTAATGGACCCAATTATTGGGCTAAGCCAAGTTTAATTTCTAACATCCCCTCTTGAACTTGACTTAGCAACACCAAGTAGATCCCGCATCTTTGCAAAGACATCATGCTTGAGTGGCTTTGTGAGAATATCAGCGACTTGGTCTTGAGTCTGCACATACTCTACTTGAACTTCCTTCTTCGCTATCTTTCCCTAGATGAAATGATATCGAGTGTCTATGTGCTTACTTCGATCCTGAAACACTGGATTCTTTGCTAATGCGATAGCTGACTTGTTGTCCACGAATATTGTTGTTGCTTCTTCTTGAGACATGCCGAGAGCTTGCAATATGTACCTGAGCCAAATTGCATGACAAACACTTGATGTTGCTACAACGTACTCAGCTTCATAAGTGGACAGAGTGACTATCGATTGCTTCTTTGAAACCCATGTGAAAGCGGTGTTTCCCAGGTAAAACACAAACCCAGTTGTGCTCTTGCGGTCATCGATATCTCCACTCCAATCACTATCGCAATATCCAACCAGCTTAAACTCATCAGATGAAGAGTAAAACAACCCATATTCGGCGGTGCCTTTGAGATATCGCAAAATCCTTTTTGCCGCCTTCAAATGATATGTTGTAGGGGCCTCCATGAATCGACTAACAAGTCCAACACCAAAGAGAATATCCGGTCTTGTACATGTTAAGTATCTTAAGCTCCCCATAAGACTCTTAAAGTAAGTTGGATCAATCAATTTTTCTTTATCATACCTCGATAGCTTTAGTCCACTTTCAACAGGTGTACTTAGAGGTTTGGAGTCCTCCATGTTGAACTTCTTGAGTACTTCTCTCGTGAATCCTTCTTGAGTGATGAATATACCATCATCCATTTGCATCACCTCGATGCCAAGATAGTAACTCATAAGCCCAATGTCAGTCATCTCGAACTCCCTTGTCACGACTTGTTTAAACTCATCGAACATCTTCATATTATTACCTGTAAAGATGAGATCGTCCACGTATATGCACACGAGCAATATGTGTCCTAGATGATTTTTCTTTACATATAGTGCATGTTCTTGTGGACACTTCACGAATCCATTAGCTTGGAAGTACTGGTCAATTCTACTATTCCAAGCTCTTGGTGCTTGTTTAAGCCCATAAAGAGCGTTTCTTAGCCTCAACACTTTATCTTCTTGCCCTTTGACTTTGTAACATTCGGGTTGCTCAATGTAGACTTCTTCTTCTAGGAATCCATTTAAGAATGCGGACTTGACATCCATTTGATGTATCTTCCACTTGTTGTGAGCCGCGAGTCCAATTATCAATCTTATTGTTTCCAATCTAGCAACGGGCGCAAAAACTTCTTCATAATCAACGCCATGTCTTTGGGCGTTGCCTTTGGCTACTAGTCTTGCCTTGTACTTCTCAACCTCCCCTTTTGCATTTTTCTTGATCT